TGCAGAGATCCACAGACAAGCCCTGGGCCAAGCTCTGAGATTCCTGTTGAAGAGAGGGAGGAGGGATTGTACCAGCAAGGGGGGGTAAAGGTCATAATGGGGAAACCCACAGAGATAGCTGACCCCAGCTCATGGGAGCTCTAGACTGCCAGCTAGGGAGCCTGCATAGGACCAACCTAGGCCCTCAGCATGTGGGTGACAGTTATGTAGCTTGGTCTGTTTGTGGGTCCCCTAGCAGTGACACCAGGATCTGTCCCTGGTGCATGAGCTGGCTTTTAGAACCTATTCCCTATGGTGGGATGCCTCGCTCAGCCTTGATGCAGGGGGCAGGAACTTGGTCCTGCCTCAACTTGATATGCCATGCTTTGTTGACTCCCATGGGAGGCCTTACCCTTTCTTAGCAGTGGGTGAGAGAGGGTAGAAAAGAGGTGTTGGGAGGGAATGGGAGGAAAAGAGGGAGGGGAAACTGTGGTTGGTATGTAAAATAAATTACAAAATTTAATAATAGAAAAAAAAAGTTGCTGTGGTCATGGTGTCTATTCTCATCAATAAAAACCCTAAATAAGGCAGGAGAATGTTCGGGTAAAGAAAGTAGAGATGAGGCAGTTGAGTTGTAGACAAGAAGATGAAGGTCATTCAGACTGTAAATGTGGGTCGCAAGACGCAAATGCAGGTTGGCTTGACTCATGGGCTCCACAGTTGGCTGTGCTCACCGCTCTTCACACTGTCCAAGGATAACTTAGAAGGACCCTCAGAACCCACACAGAAAATCCAACTCCCTCTTCCAAGGGGGAGCAAACTGAACCCCACAGATGTAGAAAATCTTAGCGTAGTCACATGACTGACTGGTGGCAGAACCACCATTAAAAGCCAGAAGATAGTATGTGTAGTCCAAACAGACTACCAAGATTTTCCAGCCCATCTTTATTCCTTTGCATGTCTAATGCCTCATCTAGAGAGAATCAAGCTGTGTCAGGAGTGCAGGCTGCTTTGGTGTCATGGATGAGACACACAAAAAAACTTGGTGCTTATTTTTTCTTTTTTATTAAAACCAGCCTGCACCAAGAAGAGACACTTCATGTCTCTTCTTGGCTACTGCCCAGATCCAGTCCACAGTGCTAGTGGCAAACAATGCTTCTAGCCTTCAGAAGAAAAACATTATGTAGGTACCAGAACACTTTAGTGATATTCAAAATACGTAATTGATAATCAAGGCTAATAGGGGCTCACAGAAACTGAAGCAACAAACATGGACTGTGTATGGGTTGGAGCTAGATCCTCTGCACATACATTATGGTTGTGCAGCTTTGTATTCCTGTGGGACTGGGAGTGGGAGAGTCTCTGATTCTTTTGCCTGCACCTGGGACCTTTTTCCTCCTACTGGGTTGCCATGTCCAGCCATGAAACGATGGTTTGTGCCTAGTCTTATTGTATCTTATAGGCCGTGTTTGGTGGATATCCATGGGAGGCCTGCTTTTTTTTTTTTAAGGAAAACAGAATAAATTGATCTGGAGGAGGGAGAGTTGCGGGGGGCAGAGACTGGGAGAAGTAGATGGAGGGAAAACTGCTGTCAGGATACAATGTATGAGAGAAGAATAAAGGTTTAAGAAATCTGTATTAGATAGTTTACAGAAAATATAACTATCCAGAAATTAGAGGCAAGATATTGTGATTAAACACAGTGAGCTGATATGGCCATTAGGAGACTAGCAAGGCCATTGCTCTGTCTGTGTCCTTCATGGAAACATTTCTACTCCATGCATAGTGCTTCCTAGGGATAAAAACCTATTATTTATTTCTAGACTCAACAACGGGGAATAACACTGGGGTACTTCCATCTCTTAGGGATCTTCTCCTTGGAATAGTGTTTTCCTTTGTCTGTTTCCACACTCCCAGGTCCTGAACTGGGTCTTCCTCACCCCTGAGTCTTGGATGTCATTTACTGGCAGAGAGAAGCCAAGAAGGGAAAGACGAGACAGCTGTGTCTAGCTCTGCTGACAGATACAAACCAGGCAGGCTCTTTACTCTCCCCAGTTCCCTTAGCCTCTTTCTCTTTATATCAGCAGTGAATATATTAGGCTCTCTAGTCTCTACAAAACTCCCCATTCCAAGAGCACAGTCCTCTATCTTTCCATTGCTTAATTTGTAAGACTTACTTCTCCCAAGGGATATTTTAGCTTCCATGCAGAACATAATGGCAAAAGAAGACTTCTCTTAAAATTCAGGACAAGCCCACCTGATGAAATTAGAGACTTTAGGGCAGAACACCATGGAGGCAAACTATTCTGTCTACTTGAAAGGCAGCTCTGCTTATCATGAACCACTATTTTCATACTTTTGAAAAGAAGCCAAGGACAGGATCTGAACGATATGTGATACGCAATATTGTGAGTTCGTTTATGTTTTAGGCAGTTCATCACTGAGTACATTTATGGAGTACAGCATTATATTATTAGCAGCAGGTATTAAATATATTATTTAGTATTAGAGGTATTAGTCTCCAGCATTAGGGAAGATTAGCATTTGATGTATTAGTTCTTTGAGGTTACCATTAAGACTTGAATTCCTGACTGTTATTACCCAGTGCATGGCAGTAACTGAATTGTGATTTAGCTCTAATTCCGCAATGAGTTCACCAGCATTGACAACCCAGTACTAATGAGTGACAATCCTTTATTTGCAAATGTGTCTGAGAATAGGTGGCTCACATGTTTGGTGATCATAGAATTTACAGGTGAAGACTTCAACATGGGCATCCCTTTCTTAATGAGTTTCACAGCCTCGTTTTATGAAAAACTCTATGTTTAACTAAGTTTCAACCCTTTAAAGCTCCCTCATAAACAGTGGTTCTCAACCTTCCAAATGTTGCAACCCATTAATACAGTTCCTCGTGGTGTGGTGACCCCCAACTATGGAATTATTTCATTGTTATTCCATATCTGTAAATTTGCTACTGTTGCGAATCATAATGTAAATATATGAGATGCAGGATATCTGATGTGTGACTCCCAAAGGAGTTGTGATCCACAGGTTGAGAACCACTGCTCATAAGCGACCTTGCCACTAACTATGCTCCTTCCTTATTTCTTTCTGGCTTCTAGGAGCAAAATCTTTGGTCTGCTGCTTTAACCCGAGCTCTTCTACACTAGGCACTCCATGGTATTCCATCACAGTCCCAAAACAAATGATTAGGTAAAGTATTAAAATGTCTGCTATATTTTGTGTTCATCCAGTCCTCTATCATTGTTTCTTGCACCTGAGATCAAAGGGGCACATACAGAACTTTTAGAAGCACTTGATACACTCACCTTCACAGTTTAAAGCTTCCAGCAGGCAAGGAATGACATCTCTGTAATAGGTAAATACGTTCCTAAAACCATAACATCTCACAGTATCAGACTTCTTAGAAATTCTCAAGATATCCTTCCTCTCTCAAATCAGAACATCCTTTCCAGCAACAATGTAGCCCATTTTGATCTCTGATTCAGGGGCATAGAGCTGAGGTTACCTAACCCTCAGCACAATGGTGGGATTGATCCAAGTGGAACCTGTATCTCTGTGTGCTGATTCACTTCCTACAGAGGCAATCACGTCCCGCTGCTAGGGCTCCACACTGCTAACTTTATGCACAGTGGATTCCCAATTTCTCTCTTCCCACTCTGAGTTTTGCTATGCACAGCGGCTGACAGTTTGCCACATAAAAAGTGTGCCCGCAATTTATGAGTGGAAGTTTCTGTCCACCCACTCCTACAGCATGTAGACAGGATCATTTGGAGAGCTAAAAGCAGACTCCACTGTCTGCCTTACACTTCTCAAAGCCCATCTTCAGCATATATCAAAGTCTTCCTGACATTTGCAACCCTCTTCTCACCCAGAGTACCCTCCTCTGGTACTTCTCAGTTCTCCCATTGATGAAGATATCATCTGTTCCTTCTATTTCCCACAGCCGAGAAGCTTGGTATAAACCCCACTTAGCAAGCAATGGTTTGAACTAGGACTAGCTAGCCTATAGCTGTCTTCACCCTCAATCCTCCCAGCACGCTGGATTTAAAGCCTTCAGGGTAACTCGGGGCACTTACCTGCCATGGATTTGTTGCTGTTGTAATTGATTAAATGTAACATCAAATTCTTCTATATACAACAATGAACATAAAAGACTTTTGGGTAGATGGGGCCATTCTATCATTGCCTCCCATTTCATTCTCTACAAACCAAGATGTACCATAGCTACAGATAAAGATATTTAGTATTCCTGTGAGTTGCTCTGAGTAAAAATAGGGCTGCCATACTTACATATTGCACTTAGAACATGAAGCATGTGGACAGAGAAGTGGTTGTCTATATAATATACTGTTAAGTGATCCCTCACTGAGGTGAGGAGCACTAAGCTGAGAAGCATGTCTTGTCTGTCTAGTATGTGGGTTGGGGAAGTGGCAGACAGACTAGAGGAGACCAATGTCACATTTGTATCTTCATCAAGTTCCTTAAAGGGTGATCCCAGACCATAATATGTAGAATATGGGAGAGTCTCCTGCTGCCCATAGGAGCACTGATAACAGAGGCCCTCTCAGCAGGTTTCGGGAGTAAGACTGCAGCTTCTGGTAAGACCTTCCAGTCCTCTGACATGATGACATGATGATGGGATATTCTGGTGCAGGGCCTGTGCTGGCTCTCAAGAGTTCTGCTCCATTTCCATTTAATGTTTCTCCCTTCCTCCTCCTCCTTCTTCTCTCTCTCTCTCTCTCTCATACACACACACACACACACACACACACACACACACACACACACACACACACTTCATACCTGAGTTAACACAGGCACAAATTAACACATACATACACTAATGAACTAGCCTCCCGCATCAATGTACATGATCTGCGGACACTCCTCTCAGACACAGGATGATGATAATAATAATAATAATAAACATTCAGACAACCCAAGGAACTATATTTCTCATTTCTCTCTCATTTTCCCACTAAAAAGGGTCTTTAAAATGCATTAAATCAAGTAAAATTTTACTCAGAGATTCATATGACTGGAGCAGATTGACAAGAAAAAACAATCACAAAATAAATATTTTTTGTTTTGTTGTTTTTTAGAAAAGAACATTTCCATATACACTGTCTCTAACTTGACAAAACTGCTTCCTTGGACAGACAAGTGCTGTGGGAAGAGGGCGCCGGATGAGCTGGGAGGGGCTCTTGGAACAAGTCAAAACTCGGAAACTGGGGAGGCCAAGGAGGTGTGAGGGGTCTGGCGGGGAGGGGGAAGTGAGGAGTGAGCAAAGAGGCTGTGGCCTGCCCTTCCTGTTGGCTCCTCCGCCATAGCACTGTGCACACTTTCTAAGGAAGTGGCACCGGAAGCCACCAGCCCATGGCCTCCAGGGTGCAGGGAGGCAGTGTACAAAAAGTAAGAACCGATGCAGGGAGTCACACGACGACAACATTTTAAGAAATCTGGTTAAAAAGAATACAAAAGTGACTCCACAGAGGGGAGGTCTCCCGCCCCTCCCACGTGTGTCCCCTCTTGCTATCCTGGATGACAAGAATCACTTCGAAGAATTTTCCCTCCTTTCTTTCCTGGTGTAGCTGGTTCTTTATCTCTTCCTTGCCTCTTCTTCAAATGCATTCATTTTTGAGAGCACCAACTTGACAGATCTGAGGCTGCTGAGCTGTGGCCTCCCTGTGAGTGGGGGCGAGGGGGGGATTGTATGCACTTGTGCATGTGTGCAGTGGCTGTTTCATTGTCTCTCGCCTGCTTCAGTCCAAGCCTTGAGCTCCCATCTCCCAGGTGCTGAAAGTCTCAGAGAAGCATCCTGTTGGCACTGAGGTGAGGGCTCCGATTATCTTTGCACCCTGAATGTGTGGATCAACTTTCTGACCAGTGCTGGGGTAGTTCCCCCATTAGCTACAGAGTTTTCCTGTCTCATACTCCACAGGATTTGGCAGCTTGGAATTGAAAGCTCTCAGGGAGGATTGGATCCTGCCCACCTCATTGTTGGCCAGCTTGAGCCTGTGCCGGAGCAAGCAGGAGAAAAGGTCAAGCCGGACTTTGCCAGGTGGAGAGAGTTGGTTCACCCGGTCTCTGAGTTCAATGAGTTGTAAGAGTGCAGAGTCCTGGGAACCTTGAGTATATGGGTAGTCCAACTGTAGAATTAAGTCTCGGATAGCATCCGGATCAAAGGGCAGGCTGTAGCCAAAGACCTGCAAGGTGTTGATTTTCATGTAGCCCAAATTCTTGGAGGGATCAGTCATCTCCAGGGGCTCATAGTAGATTGTCTCATTGGAGCTGTCATCTAGGGATTTGATTCGGCTCCTTAGGTAAACATGGACTGTCTCAAAAAAAGTCTTCCATCTGTTCCCCAAAGTGATAGTCCAGTTTTGGCACTGGGCAGCTGCATCCACGTTAGTCCTTTCCCAGTCAGGAAAGTTGCCCTCATTTACAGGCATGAACCAGCTCTCAGAGTGGCTGCCCCCGAAGGGGTTGACGTAGATGGCCATGACAGGCTCCAGGGTGCTGTTCTTAGTGAGGCAGATCTGCAAGGACAAGGCCAACATCACGTGCACCAGTCCAGGCTTGTACTTGTTGCTCTTCAGAGTGAGCAGCATCCGCTTCCTCCAGGAAGGGTCAAACCAGCTGCCCAGACGCATGTCATTGCTGATAAAGATAGAGTGCACCTCAATGCGGCTGTCTCGCTTCTGCAGCAGGTACTTCAGCTCCAAGTCCTGCAGGTCTGTCTCCAACCCTAGAAAATTCTCCAGAGACTCAGCTACCTCTGGCCGGCACAGTCCCTGGGCCAGCACATAGCCAGGGTTACAGCTCCCACAGCGAGTACTATTGTCTGAAGCACAGTGGGCACATGCAGACCCTTCACCCAAGGCACATGGGATGGGGCCCTGGCAGGAAGATTGGTCATAGGGACAGGTGCAGCTGTGGCTCTGTTCTAGGAAGGTCCCAGAAAGGGTGCTTTCTCCACAGTAGAGAAGGGATTGGATTCGGTTCCACCAGAAAGACAGGGATCTTGAAGAGATCAAACAAAGGAGTGAGAGTCAAAGGAAGCTGTAGGCCACTGTCCTCCCTAAGAGTATCAGGGAACTGACTAGCAGATGGGAGCTGGGGGAGGCAATAAAAAGATCAAAGCCACAAGTTGGCTGAGAGGTGAAAACCCTGGTGCTCCACTTTGGACCAACTGAGTTAAACCTGGAACTCTATCTAGTGGACCAACCAGAGAGATATGACATCAGGCTTGTTCTGGAAACAGCCAGGCTAAATTTCTTTCAAGTCATTCCTCTTTTCAAAACTGGAGGCTTTTCAATGTCTTGAATCAAATCTATCTTTTTAGCCTTCCCTATAGCATAGCTCTTTAAACAGTTCGTATTCTTGCCAACTTCATGCCCACCTAAGGGTCTTTCCTTATTTCCTGCTTTATCCGTCTTAGAGGAAGACATGGAATTTTTGGGGGCTTACTTAAACTTTGGATTTCAACTCTTAGCTACCTCATTAAAATCGGCTGTTTCCAGTGTCTCCTTCAAAGGACAACTCCAGTAACTGTCTCATCACTATGTTCTGGTTTAATCCATGGCAACTGTATGTGTATGAACTTACTATGGCTTTATGGAGCCCTTATTGATAGCTGGTTTCCCTGGGAGGGCAGTGGGAACAGGGATCCTGTGCTGTCCACTAACACATTCTTAGGGAGTGAGCTTGTTTCTCGTTCATGATGGCATTTAATAATTAGTTGCTAAAATAAAATGCACCATCTTACTAACCCTGCTGGTCTGTCTTCTCCACTCCTGCTTCCTGCCCTCCCTGAGTTAGTGACATGGCTGGGCTGCTGTGAGGGTAGCTACACTTCTCAGGGTATTTGTCTCACCTACACAGTCCAGGCTTTCCTTTCTTTTCCTGCACAAGCTGTCCAAGACTTCCTTTTCTTAGGAGGTTTTTCTCTCTAGCCTCGGCCTCTTAGGAACTATCCTTTCTTATGTTTTTGTTCTTTTTTTTTAAATGTATGTCCTTTTGATTGGTGTTCTGCCCCCATTAATTTCAGTGGCTAATACAATCAGGATTTAAAATTTTGTATGTCTTTACATGTTTGCTAAATCTCTCCTTGTCAATGGTATCCTCTATAGCTAAACAGCAGGGCACGGAATATAGATCTAATACAATTTTAATGGCTGCATGTATGAATGAGTGAATAAATAAGTGGATTCCTATCACAGTACACTCCCACCCCATTAAGAGAGTCTAGGCCTCAGCTTTCTTCCCTCCCGTGACTCAGACAAGGGATGAGAGTCACTTGTTGGAAACAATCTAGTGTGTTTATTTCCCATCATTGGCAATTTGTAGATGAACTTGAACTCAACCTTCTTCCTCACTAGAAGACTTAGAAAACTGGAAAAGGGCAAGTGAGAAATCTGGTGTTACTAGAATAGTATTTGAATATACTCTAATTTGCATAAAAGTAACACAAGGTTCCCTTAACTTCTTCATACACAATTGATGATTGAAAGGGACAAGTAAAGAGGCCAAGGTCACAGAAACAGAGTGACTGAACGTGTCAGCACTTTCTATTCTTCCATGTCGGCCATAGTGTCTTTGGCCTCAGCAGCTATGACCAGGAAGTGCTGGGCTCTGGATCCGAACCCTGGATGCTCACCTCTCCTTGGGTAGGCGGAAACGAGGCTGCCGATGGCAGCGTTTGCAGAGATTGAAGAGGCGGCGGACAATCCGGTGCATCTTCTTTAACAGGACTTTCAAGCTGCCCCCCAGCTGCTGGTAGCGGTGCTGGACGTTAGTGTCCATGATCCAGTACTGGGAGATGGCTGTGGAGTTCAGGAATCGGTCACTGGGTAGCCTCTTCAGCAGGGCCTGGAATTCTTCTGTGGGCAAAAATACAGGATCTGAGCAGAAGCTATGTAGAGTCCTGGGAATACAGATCGATGGTTCCTTAGACCCTAGGGCCCCTCACAGTCACTGCATAAGAAAGAGACTTCCCATCCGTTGTACTAGTTTTTTAAATTACATATGGCTTTATTGGAAATTTACATATCATAAAATGTAGCTGCAGGGTTCTTTTTTTTAGAATTCATTCATTTTTAGATTTTTACTTGTGTGTGTGTGTGTGTGTGTGTGTGTGTGTGTGTGTGTGTGTGTGTGTGTGTGTGTGTGTGTGTGTGCTGTGTGTAGGTGCCCATAGAGACCAGAAAAAGGGGCAGATCTCCTAGAGCTATAATTAGAGGTGGTTGTGAATGACCCAACATGGTTGCAAGGAGCCAAATTTAGGTTCTCTGGAAGAGCAAAACATGCTCTTAACCACTGGGCCAGCTCTCCAGCCCCTGCTTCTGAGGTTTTGTTGTTGTTGTTCTTATTCCACTAAATCTTCGATTTTTCAAAACTGATCTGTCTGTCATTCCTCAAATGCCTGGAAGTTCCGCTTTGACTAACAGCCGTGGGATGTGCCTTTTCCTTTTTCCTCTCCAGGTGACTTACTCCTAGAGCAATCTTTTTTTCTCTAGTAACATATCCTGAGTACTGTTTCCCACATCTACTCCGCCCAGTTCATCTCCTCCCTGCCCCCTCCTATCCTGATCCACTCCCTTTCTGTCTCTCTTTGACCAAATTTCTTCCACAATACTCAGAGCACTCACCAGTGAAAGAGGTATACAAGCTCAGTGACGGGCAAATGTGGGCACAGAGAAGGTAGTGTAGCCAGCTCAGAAATCTTAGAAACATTTAGTCCCTGAGCCTCACCTCTCCCTCCACAGCCTACTCTCTGATTCTCTAAGATACTCTTGCTCTCCTGGGCTCCTGGTCACATAGGCGTTCTACCCTGTATCTAATATAGAAGCAACATCATGAGTACTTCCAAGCTCCAAGTATGAGTTCTTTTGAATGTCCTGGGTATGGTATGCTTTCTGAACTCATGCCCAAGTCCCTCTTCTCTGCTTTGCCTTGGGACCTGCCACCACCTAATCACCAGAGGTCTGTGACATTCTCATTTATTCACTTGTAGTATCTCATAGTGGTAAAAAACTAAAGTTGTATTATAAAACATATCCTACTACTGCTAACCCAAAGCATGGGGTTGGGATCTGGAACTTGATTCTTTTAATAGCTCCTTGCACCAACCTGTTGCTATCACACTCTTTTAAAGATGAGGATATCATAGCATTGAGGAACTGCATGGTTTAAACCAAGGAGGGAAAGTTGGTCAGTATAGGGCAAGAAGCAAAACTAACCCCTCAGACTCCAGGACCTAAGATGGCATTGATAATTAGCTATGTCAACAACAAACAACAGTTGGTTTGGTTTCCACTGGGTAACAAATAGACCATTCTATATATATTTCATCTATTCAGCAAATATTTATCATGTGCAAGCATTATGCTAGACACCATGAAACCAGAAGCCAGCAGGACAATGATATGTATGTTCTCAATGATTTTTATCTCAGCTAATTAAGTCCTTAACACATATATCTAAAGTTAGGCACTATGGTTATTTGCATGAAGAAAAAAAACACTACTTAAGACTCTTGGTGACGATACAATTATTCTTTCCTTAGACGTTCAAAAAAAGTAAGTTGGGATCCAAGTCAGATTTGTTCTCATGTTCTGGCCCCTCACAGCCTCTACTCTTCAGTGGGGGGGACGGGACACTTGGGATAGTTGTCTTGCTTACCTGACTCTTCAAACTGCCTGTTGTGAGTGGTCCAGGAGTCTTGGATCTGCAGCAAGCTGTCCTCCATGGCCTGGATGTCAGCATCAGGACAGTTGCATTCTGGGAAAGTGGGACTGCACCTGCACCAGCAGTCATTCTCCCTGCAGACAAGCTCACCCTCAGAGCTGCATGTGATGTAGCTAAGTGCTGCAGCCACGAAACGCTCCCGCAGGTGTTCGGGGAGCAGCACCTGCAGGCCTGGGGAAAGGATGAATCAAAGAATCACTGAGCAGAACCAGTGGGACTCAGTTTCTCACACCCAAGGCTACAGGAATCCAAACAGGGTTTTGCTGACTGGGCCTGAGAATGGTCACCTCAGGGTCTGATCCTGCTGAGCTGGTTGGGAGAGAGAGCTTTTCTAGCCCCCCTGACAGATGGGGGAGGATCTGAATATGCAGAGGAGGAGCATCAAAGCCCAAGGCTTAGCCAGACTCCTCACATCAGCCAAATTGAGGGAGCGTGCATATCATAAGAACAGGCTTATTGACTACACATCAGCATTTCTAGGAGAGAAACAGGAAGGTGTTTCAGATAAAATTAGAGCTTAAGGCCCTCCCGGGGGAGATAGCAAGACTTGCTCTCCTCCACTAGCCATCCTCCTTATAGTTTCACCAAAGTTGGCAGTAGGCATGCTCGGACATTTACTAAATGCTATCCTTCCTGGGCCTCCCATGCCAGCCTGGATAGCTGAAAATGTTCTGGTTATGAGTTAGGGATAGGCACTATAGGTTTACAGTGGCCAGGTACTAAATCAAGTACTTTCTAGATATAGTTGGTAGTGACTCTTCAGGGTAATCTCCATCCCAGAAGTGGTAGTGCTGTTTTATTTTGTTCCCTAAAACAAGCTGGGTTCACATTCCTCATGTTGTTGATGATGGATTCTGATCCTCCTATCTCTGCTCCACCAAGTGCTGGGATTATCAGTGTGTGTCACCACGCCTAATTTCATATTGAGATTTTTTTTTTAATGAGAAAATAAAAGCCAAAGGCTACAGAGACCCCCTCAAGTCACAGCCCTGGTGTCAATCACCACCCTTATTTTACCAGGTGATACTGCATACTTGGGAATGGTTGCCTATCTCAGTATAGTTTAACTCTTGGTTTTTTGGTCGTTATTGATTTTATTTTTGTTGTTTTGTTTTGTTTTTGTTTTTTTGAGACAGGGTTTTTCTGTGTAGTCCTGGCTGTCTTAGAACTTGCTTTGTAGTCCAGGCTGGCAGAAATCCACCTGCCGTTGCCTCTTGAGTGCTGGGATTAGAGGCACATGCCACCACTGCCCAGCTAATTTAATTCTTAGGAAAATATGAATGTAGGATGGTACACTGGGCCTCACGATGCATCAGACCATCAGGCCTGGATAGGCACTGGCTTTAAGCCACAGGTAAGACGGCTGTTGGAAACTTACAAAGGATGGAGAAGAGATAGGGAGTATGGATGGATTGAGTGTGGTTCAGATCTTCAGGAGCTCTTCCAGTAGTGATATTGTTAGACCTTCTGCCAGGAGAGTGAGGCATTGGACCCCCAAATGTGAGGATCCTCTTTTCTCAAATGTAGGCTTTTCATTTCCACATCCATGATTTTGTCCTTGGCAGAAAAATCAAAGAGCTCACAATGTGCGTCCCAGGCTCAGCCGACCTCACACTACACCTTAGATTTGTCAGCAGCTACGATATTTTCTGTTCTCACTTGAGGTCTACCTCCGACTCTTACTGGCTCCTAAATTTCCCTTTCTTGACTCTGTGTCCACCATGGCACTTGAAAGTCCCTCCTCAAAACACACACCCTATCCACATACCTCCTTTCAACACTTATTCTCTTCAAGTAGTCTCCTTCCCTCTCCCATTGCCTCCCTCCTCTTCACCAGAACATTTCCCATTGCTATAAAGTAAGTGCCCTGAGCAATGTCTGCGTGAGTGATGGGCTATAAAATTAAATGGCATAAACTATTCCAAATGAACCACCAGACATTTTGAACTTCACTCACTGCTAATTTCCAGACACAAATCCAGCTTGTATAGGGACATAGGAGAAGAGAGATATTAATTGTATTGAGTATCTATTAGTAGGTTTTTTACTTCTCTTACTGTATATTTGTTAATTCCTAAAGCAATATTGGTTGCCTCTGGCTCAGATTGCTTGAAATTTGTAATCGTAGATCCTGGGTGAGGGCTATTGATTTTTCTGATGCTGGGATAGTAATATCTTAAACAGAGGCCAAGTCAGTTAGCTCTTAGAAAAAATGAACTTTTTTACTGAATCAGTTTGCATAGCTCTTCCCTTAAAACATTTGAGGTACAGATGGGATTAATTATTTCTACTTGTCCCCCATTCTTTGGGACTACAACAGTGGCTTTTTTCTTTTTCTTTCTCTGCTTTGTCCATTGTCTCCAGTCCAAATGTTCCTCATCATTCCTCTTGTATGCTGCTCCTGGCTTTGAATTTCTCATGGAAAACCAGACTGGGAATTGGAAAGCAAGAGTTCCTCTTCTGTTGTGGTTGCAGATCAGTAGACCCAAAGTTTGAGCTAGAGTGAGCTCTATTAGTGAGCCCACAATTACTATGCGAAGGCCACTCATTTCTTAGTGTGCCTTTGATAACCAAAGCAATCACTGGCTGAGTCCTGGGTTTACAAGGCTGTGTGTCTGATCCCTACAGGATAATAACACAGGTTTGGAAAAGAAACACAATGGAAGTATTTAGGTGTCAAGTGTCATGGGTGTGGGGCAAATCCTCAGAAGTCCCCCCCCCAAAAAAAAACCTGATGGAAATTTGCTACACGCAGGTCCTAAGATTTGTGAAGATTCTTGTCTTAAGGACTTAGCTGAGGCAGGTAAGCATAAACTTAATAACCTGGGACTGTACTTGTTAGGAGCTGTGTACACACTTCTATTCAAAATACAATTGGCAGCCTAGGTCTTTTACCTGCGTGTGCTTTACACACACACCCTACTCCAAGAAATGCACCTGGAAAGTGTTAGCACCATAGAACCCTCACCTGCAAAGAGCTGCGTGCGTGCACACCCTGCTCTGAACAATGGAGCACATTCTCTTCCTCTTGACAACCATCAAAGTTGCATTCTATTCAATTGTGGTCCACTATGTCTGGGTATGAAGTGGCGGGAACAATGTGGCCTAGACTAGGCTTGAGCATAGGTTCAATAAGGTAAAACTGGGTCCCCAAGTGAACTTTTAGGGAGAATCCATTACTTACCATCCTATGCCTATGCATAATTGGCACACATCTGGTTAAAATGACATGCATTATGGGAAGGAACATTCACAGTAGAAAAAAAATGGTTAAGGAACTGGATCTATATATCAAAGTATAGAACCATCCAAACTATGCCCCTAGTAACCAGCTCCTCCTCCTCCTCTTGAACACCATAAAAGGAAGGCCACACAATAATCTGGGTCCTTGAGCACCTTCACTTAGGTAGCCTGCTGCCAGTTCTGGTAATTTCTGATCTATACTGTTGATTTGCTTTGGATAAAGTTACTTTGCTCATTTTGTAAAACATGAGTCCTTATTTCAGTACCATAAACAAGAGACCAAGAGCCTGGACACACCTTTCCCAGACCCTGACCCGTGATAACATATTCAAATGAAAGAATCAAATCTTTCCTTTCTCTTTAGGGATTTAGGTTTTCCACCAGTATGAAACCTTGCAGCTCCTTACCCAGTAACTGAACTTTGTTCTCTGGACTCTGAACCAGGACAGAGCTGACCGAGTCCAGATTGTCATAGTTGCTGCAGCCCAGTGGCCCAGTCCTGGTCTCTGTGACCTAGAGAAAAAGAGATAAGCTATAGACTCAGAAAACAAGAGGAAGGTTTCTCTTTGCCTTTTTCTTCTAACCATCCACTTGGAGACTCTCTGTCCTTTCTCTGAGCAAAGAACTGCATTTGTCTACACTGGGAATGCAAAGTGACTTAGTTTGCATGTTCTGGGTCAGTGAACATCATTTCTATGTGGTTGGTGGCAGAAGTTGCATGTGACTGAGAGAGCCTTCCAGAGGGGAGCAAACAAAATGTGTAACCAGGAAGTTGAATATGGAGTGAGACCTTCAAGTTGGCAGACACCAACTTGAAGGAGGCAAAGGGCCAGAGATGGTCCCTGTTAGCATGTGAGTGAGCCAGCTGCATCCACTTGATGGGGTGCTCACAGGTTTTGGAGATCCTAACTATGAAAAGCACTAGAGAAATATGAGGAGTTAGGAGTATTATTATTAGTATTAAACATTTCAGTCCACCTCAGTGCCGAGATGTCCTTAGAGAAAATCAGCTATGGGATTACTGCATATTTTAGTTAGTATATTAAATATACATAAACTCTTACAGCCATGTAATATTCCAAACACCATATTTTAAAATATTATAAAGTTGGCCCATCAGTTTTCTCTGATGTTTAAAGTATAAGATGAAAAATGGGAGACTTGAAATTCACTGAAATAATTATGTAGTAAGAATGATGGGGACCTGAGGCCCTTTCTTCTCAGGAGCTCCAAAGTCCTTGCCAACAATCCATCAACCAATCAAGGAGTATTTATTGAGCAGCCCCTGTTCAATTCCACACAATTCATCAAACATTGATAGAGTGCCTTTCTGGAGTTCTTCCGGGGTTCTACTGGCACTGCTGACCTTCTCTTGTAGCTCCAGGCACCTGTGCTTTGCAGCAGTCACATGGGCTGCAGTTCCACATGCTTTCCTGTGAGTATTTGATCCTCACCTGGTTCCCATGCTAGAGTCTCTACAGAGGTAAGCTCCTATTTATTTTGCTTGCCATGATGTCAATAGCGGCTAGCGCAGAGTCTGGAACATCGTAAGTAAGCAGTGAACCTGAGAATGTATGAGTAATGTGTTCTAGTCTTTTCAGGGAGATAGGCACAATGATATATGAGCTATATAATGAGTCATTCAAGGAGGCAGGTAGATTACAGATGACTGATAGACATGTGAATTGTGACCAAAGAATATGTCACAGGAAACACATCCCTAGGCAGACGGAAAACAAAAAGAACAGGGGAAATACCACTGACGATTGGGTTCTTTAAAGATAAGTAGGAAGTAGACAGTAGAGGAGTTATGGGAAATATATTTTAAGAAGAAAATCTCAAAAAGAAAGACATTGGGATCTACAGCACATGCTCCAAAGTACATAGGTACAAGCCCGGCCCCTTAAGGAACCCCAAATGCAGGGGACATCACAGAGGGACTCCTGTTTACCTAGGCTTAGAAAATGAATCAAGAATAAAGTTGTCAAGTGGGAGATGGAATGATACCACAAACCCTGGGCAAGGAGTCAGGACTGATCCTGGGAGCTTAAAACAGCCCTGAAAAGTGAGTAAGGATTCAAGGGATTCAATCACTTTCTAGACAATATTCTGAAGAGATCAGTTCACCTAAAATGCTAGTGATTTGCCCTCCTCAGAAGGCTAATACTGGGTGTGTGTGTGGGGGGAATCTAATGATTGGAAATTAGTATTGCTATCCATTAGGTCTCCCAAGTCTCACTCAGTACCTGTGGCTCCTCCCAGCACTCCTCACCCCGCCCTCTACCCTAAACTTCTCCTTCTATGTAATTCAGCCATTGTGGCTATGCACCCTCTTGGTCCATGCATTCTCTTGGCCTCTCGTTCTCCTGGGATGCTCAGGGCCTCTTGGTCCTCAGCTTCCCCCACCCCCTTTCTCTCTTTCCCTTGCTCTCTCCTCCCCATGACCTGGTTCAGTCTGCTGGTCTGGTTCAATCTGGGCTCTTTCAGATGCCATTAGCTGTTTTTTTTTTTTTTTTTTTTTTTCCCTCATATCTACAATAAACCTTCTCCTCAAACACCCAAGAGCTGTCATGTCCTCAATTTTTCATTCATTATCTTTCTATAAGAGATTAAGAAAACAAGGTCGCCGGGCGGTGGTGGCACAGGCCTTTAATCCCAGCACTCGGGAGGCAGATCCAGGCGGATCTCTGTGAGTTCGAGGCCAGCCTGGACTACCAAGTGAGTTCCAGGAAAGGCGCAAAGCTACACAGAGAAACCCTGTCTCGAAAAACCAAAAAAAAAAAAAAGAAAAGAAAACAAGGTCTAGGTAAGTTAAATGACCAACTCCTTATCATATATATTGCATCCCAGGGGGCCAGGATGAATTCAATATAGTCTTGCATTGCTTTATTCAGTTAGTATCAACTCACAGATGAATGTGACAGTTCCTGCCTGTATGGCACTTGTAGACTGGTAGAAATATGTTTCTAGAATTCCAGTGTTCTTATGGATCTTCTTGGGCTGGCCTCTCTTCCCATGTGGACACTATGTACTGAATACTTCCGACTGAGCAAGTGGTTGGCTAGTGATCAGACTAGACTGGGAAGACAGAGCCAGGCTTACGTCAAGGCCAAGTCTCCTCTTTGTGTAATACTCCCCATAAGAAGAGCCATGGCCGAGAATTAGCACAATGTAGTGGAACCTGTGAGAATGGGCCGGGCTGAATGGCAGGTACAAGGCGGTATGCTACAGTATTGAGAAACTAGCTTGTTCTTACCTCAAGCTGGCCACCCAAATACTGCTAAGCGTTACTCTGGATTTTTCATCTACCCACTCCTGAGGTGATGACTCACCAACTAGCTTCAGGCAGAGAATGAGATAACAAGTCGTGTGCAGGGAAGGGCAGGTCAGGAAATAGCCACAATCGAGGCGTTCCCGTTCTTTCTCTGACCCCCAAGCCTTTTTCCACCTAGCACTCGTCCATCAACTTCCCACCATCATCCCAACATCTCCATAGTGAGGCTGGCTGTAATCTTGTCATTTTTTTTTTTTCTCTTTCTGCTTGTCCCAATGTCAGTTCCACGAGAAGACCATCAGTCAGGAAGGTCGCTGGGAAGAAGAGCTCCCCTTTGTTGATTGCGATGCAGGATGAGAATGAAGAGGAAATACCTTGGTATCGTACCCATGTCCTGATAGAGGGGAGAGTGGCAAGCCAGATCGTCATGAGGAAGGATTGCTCAGACTTCATTAGATACCAAAGTCATAATTACTTTTATTTCTACCTGTTCTGACACCGTCTCTCTCCTCCCTGGATAGATAATGAGATAGGAAGAAGAAAGGTGCCTGTGAGGGGTCTTACGTAGATACTGTCAGACACTGACTTGGGTAAACAGTACAGGCTGATATGTAGCCCTGCTCCTACCCATGTGGTGAAAGCCCCTGTCTCTGAAGGGCAAGTCAACACAGTCTTGAAGCTTTCTCTGTAAAGGGGCAGGCGGCTCTGGGAGATTATTAAAAGGGCCCATAGAGGTAACAGAAAGTGCAGTTCACTCAGGCACACACATTTCAAAAAGTGCCTCAGATAAGCTCTCAGAAGGGGAACATAATTGTGTGCTAATTGGTCTGTTGACAGAGACCATCCTGCCTTCAGAAAGCCCTGATGTATCTCAGGTTCATTAGCGCAGCCAATTTTCCATAATACCAGACTGTGCAAACCGTCATCCAGTGAGCCTACCCTACTCCCCCTGCTCTCACTTCCAGATTGCTACTGCCCTACCTGGGGGGATACCTACAATGCTAACAGCAGAGGAAAATGGGCTTCTAATGGTGAGCAATAGGGCTGAGCATGAAGAGCACAGTGAAGATGTGTGTGCTTAAAAAGGCTTCAAAGTGAATTGCAGGCCACAGGCTGCTGCAGCTTTACCAAGTGTGTTTTAAGGATGGGCTGTGAGAAACTCCCTTTTGCCTAGGGTCTGGCTGTCTTCTGACTGGCTCTGTTCAGTTAGCTCACGGCTTTTCAGTTCCTCCTTACCAAGTCTTTCCATGTCCTTCTAGAAAGAGGTGAATTAGTACTATGAAAATGGCCCTATCTCTTCCTCGTGGTGCTGATTCCTTCTAGGAAATTACAGGTAGATATATAGGCATATAAGCTTTCATACTTTGCATGGTTTTCCTGTAGATTGTATTATCTGGTGTCACCCCAACACAATAGCAGAGTAGACAGGGGTGGCAATCATTATCTTTATCAACATGTGGGATCTGAGTGCAGTAACCAATTGGTAGAGATGCCAGACTTATTATCCAGAAGGCTTCCAGAGAATTCATGAGGTGCATATGTCCTTTGGTTGCCACAAAGAAAGAGGTCCGGAGGAGCTAGGGGGAAGAGTGGCTGTGGTTAGGGCATAATGGGTTGAAGGACCTGGAAATATTTCCATGTTTTAAAAACAGGGATAGTCATATTAGCTGAAAGTCCTGGGTCCAGGTGAGTTAAGTGGTTGGTAGCTCAGATTATGGAGGAGACAAATGGAGTTCAATGACGCCTCAAGGTCATAGACACAGCAAGCTTCGGGGCTGAAACTGATTCCCAAGTATCCTAGCTCCACTTGGTTTGCTTCCCTCTAAACTGTGTAGCCCCATTTCACCTCCCAAGCATTTTATTGAACATCCTGCCACATGCCAGATGCTGTAAAGGGACTTGGAGCTATGTGCGTGCGGTGGAGTCCCTTCTGCTTTAAGGCCTACTGTCGCAGTGGGTGTGAGGAGGAGGGAAACAGGCATGCAAACAGCCCGAACAGAAACGTGACAAATCCTATCTCGAAAGCGTGTGCTGATCAGGGCAAGCCTTA